GATTTCTGCCCCTCCCATTTGATTCTGCCCTCCACCACCCCAGTCTCACTGAAACTAGGTACTCACCAAGAGGCTGTTATTTGTTGACTCATTAGCTCATTCGTTTCATGAGCTGTCATGGAGTTCCAGGCCCTGCTCTACGTCTTGGATATATAGCAGTGAGAATGAAAAACAAAACCAACTCTTTCTGTCAGTAGGACGGGGCCCTTGTTAAGGGTGGTGCAGTGGTGAAGAGGAAGCCAGCTTGGCTTTGAATCCCAGCTCACCTGCTGACCAGTAGCAAGTTTTTCAAACTTGTCTCTCAGTTTTTTCATCTGTACATCAGGGAAATTATAGTACCTACCTGAGGGGCATTTTGTGGGGATGCAATGAATCAACACTCATAAGTACCTGAATTGCCTCTGGTACACAGTGAGCCTTCCATAAGGGCCAGCTGTGGGTCTAACCTGTCTTACAGGGAAACTGAAAAAAAAAAAAAATCCCAAAGAGTATAAAATGCTGAAGAATCTTTGCAGCAAAACATGGGTGAAGGCTCTATGCTTATTTCTTTCTGGCCTTTTATTCTTAGCAGTAACTCATCTTCTCTTACCTGTACCCTATACCTCCATCCTGCTCCCACCAAGAAGAAATGGATTAGTTACAAAAATCTCCTGGCCAGTTTAAAAAATATTCACCTGGGCTTCTCTTCCAGAGCACTCTAAGACCTGCTCAGATTTCATTGTGTCTCTAATGCAGTTTTAAGGTTTGCATCGGTCAGAGCAAGATAAAATAGAAGTCTTTGTGCATACATTTGTGCCCTGGGGACAGTGCCTGGTTGCTTTAACAGCTGGCATTTTGAATACTCAATGCTGGAATTCTCCAGTTACTTCACAGAGAGAGCTTGACTCCTGGTCCCCCACCCCTACTAAGGGGGTGGCTTTGCTTTACCTTTAAGGTCCCACCCTCGCACCTGGGCTCCTCACTCACACCAGGGCACTGATAGGATTGATATCCTTGGTATTCCTGAGAGATTTCCTCACAGCTTTGCCAAGGCGGGTGAATTACCTGTATCACTTTTATTATTTAGATTCTAGCTTTCTTCTTAGGAGAGTCGGCCTTATGCCTTGAACAAGGGGTTTGTGGAAGTGCAAAACTTTCCAACTTAATCCAGTGTCTTGAGTTGCAGGTTTGTACATCAACCCATGGCTAGGTTGGCTGATGTCCTGATTCTCCCTCAGGTCAGTCACAGTTTATGTTTGGTGTCCTGGTATAATTATTAATAATGCCCCTTTCATACTTAAAAGTTATCCTGGCTTGGGTGATAAGTCACATGGTCACCTACCTGTGGCACACAGCACGGCTTCTCTGGGTCTGTGAGCTGTGGCCACATGTGTTCCAGGGGCCTAAGGAATGTGGCAAGATTCAGACTCTAGGAAAAGGTGATGGCCAGAAGACTGACCACAACTAAACACTAACTCTCACAGTCCCACAACACGCTACAAACACAGTGAGCACTACGGCAGAAACAGAGTTCATCAACTATCCGTGTGCACCCTGCCATCTCCCCATCTTCCTTACAAGCAGTGGGGCAGTGCCACTAGCTGTGGCCAACACAGTGGCTGAGTGTCACTTTGGGGCCATGGCAGTGAGGAGCTGCTGTCCCTCCTCCATCTCCCTTTTATGCTGTGGCAACCTCATGTTGTAAGGGCAGCACAGCCTGGATCACCCAGATAGCCCTCGGAGGCTGGCAGATGGAAGCCTCCAGACTTGACGATTTCTTAAAGAAAGGGGCCTGTGGCCAAGTGCTATCAATCTGCTTTCGTAATTTGCAGCTGAAGCCTGATGAATACTTGTGCATGATAATGGACATCACACAAATGGTGTTTTGATTCCAAAGCTGTGGGGACCAAGTGTGCAACAGCTGTGGGAATATTATATTGGAATATTCTTGTGTCTGGGTAGGAAGAGAATTGTCTAATAGTAAAGTGCTGCCTCCGTGTCTGAGGGCACGTTTCCTTCCTTCCCTTCCGAGCCAGCAAGCACATGCATCCCTGTAACTGGCTTCGTGGAAATAGTGTTATCTGTCAGTGTGCCCTGGAGGGTGCAGCCCTAGGTAAAGCTCTCAGCCTTCCCACTGCACAGACCTCTTCCCTCCCACAGAGCAGGGGGAGTCAAGTATTAAGCACCTGTGCCTGGTCTGTGGTCTATTTGGAATGAAAAAGACACACAAGATCTGGAACAAAATAAGATACAGTGCATGGCTGATGAGCTCTGTGGAGCACCCCAAATACTTATAGCATCAAAGGAGAGAGAAACTCCTATGATTAGTTGATGCAGTGTTAGGCTTGGGGGTGTTGCCTCCAGATCCCTGCTGTGGGCTAATTAAACTAAATACCTCTGCAAGAAGATTGGTTTCCAAAAGCTAACTGGTGGATGGGCAGCATCACAATCAATGAGGACATTTGAAAAAATACATATGTGCGAGTTTCCCCCGGAGACAGGGATTCTTAGCAGGCCAGAAGGTGGGTTCTTGCTTTAAATAGAGTCCAAGCCCCACCCCAAGTGACTGTGACAAACAGCAAGTGAATGCTGACAAACGGAATCTGGGCCTATTTCACACTGTTTCAGTGCTTCAAGGTGCTGCTAGAGCTCTCTTCGCAGGATCTGCCAGTGTGTTCAAAGAGCAGGCCCAAGTGCCCCCACTTTACTGATTGGCTGTGACCCACCCAGGCCCTGTCAGGTTCCCACCAGGATGCAAAGCGGGATTCAAATTTTCTTACCTCATGAGCCCTGCTTCCCTGTCTCCCAAAGAAAGGCCTGGTTTTCCACTGAGGAGCAGTATTTTTCAGAATGTAAGCTGGGAACCTATTCCTGGGTTACAAAATCAGTTGAGGAGGGTGCAACCAGTATTAAAAAAATTGAATAGCTGAGGAAAAATAACACAGAGTGCATGACACACATTAAGAATAATATAGTTATGCAAAACTTATTTCAGTGGGTGTGTTGTGTGTTGGGTTGCTGTGTATTTCTTACTATGTGTCATGGTGAAAAATGTTGAGAAGTCTCTGCTGTACAGCGTGAATCAGCCCCTGATTTGCTTAGGGCAGCTCCCATCCCCGCTTGCAGAGGACTGATGGAAGAAGTCACAGGGAAGGCAGACTGTCCTATACAAGTGCTTCACAGAGGCTACCTAGAAACGAATAGAAAACCAATCTGTGGATGCACACAAGGCCCGGGGAGATAAATCAATAATGGGACGTTTTATGGATGGCAGCTGGTGCAGCCCACCACGCCTGTCACCTGGGGACAGCTGGGTTTATCTGGAGCCCAATCTGGCCAAATCTCAGTTTCCCTTTCCTTAAAACAGAGATAATCACCCTATTGACTATTACCACTGTAATAGTAAAAAAATGACCAAATTAGGAGAGAAAAAGACTCTAATAAATGGTGAAGCACACGGGGCCTAGCGATGACCTTCCATGAGGGTTTGGCAGGTAAACTTTCATCAGCGTTAGGGAGGAAGAGGAAGGCCCATGCTCATATCAAGTCTAGGGAACGTGGGCGTGAGGGAGGGCATGTGGGAGCTCAGCCCAGGCAGCCCTTCCGTCAAGGGCCCTTTCTTGCCCCAGCCTTGTGGCAGGAGCCCGGCAGCACACTGCCCTTGCCCAGTGACCTAGGAGAGGACAGCTGGACAGGACAGGGGAGCAGCACGCCTGTTGTGTGCAGCCCTCAAGTGCTGGAAAATGTCTTCTGCTGGCTTGGGAAGGGCTGGGGAGTGGGAGGTGCAGGGAGCGTGACAGTGGCAGAGTGTCCTGACTTGGGTGCAGCCTTGCTACACTCTCCTCAATGGGACAGAGAGGAAGGAGGGGAGAAGAGTGCTTTTGCAGGGGCACTTGGAGGATGGGAGAAAAAAGGCCTTAAAGGCCACCACAGAAGGGTCTCGGGTGAGACTCCAGTGGACCAAAGCACCCGCCCTCTCTTTCCTATTTCCAAGTGTGCCACTTACAACAAAGCCCTGTGAGTGGTGCAGAGGGGCCCCGGCCACTACTGCTACTTCCATTTTTAAAGCTCTCACAATATTAAGGGATGAAAAAAATTGCCAGGAATGCAAAGATGGAATTTAAAAAAGCAATACGGCCTGTTCAAAGTTGCCCAGTGAACGTCTTTAATCCCGTCGCTGATCTGTCTGCGCTGTCCCTAGGACTTCCTTAGGAGATATCAGAAGTTGGAACAAAAGAGCAGAACAAATAGTCCTGGCCACGTTGTCCTGCCAGGCTGGCTTTGCTTCAGCGCAGTCTTCGTTTGCTTGGGAATGGGACAAAACCTCATTCCCTCTGTAGCTGGGCTTCTGGGAATGTGGTTCTTGAGTTTAGTGGGCATGAGCTTCACCCAGGGAGCCTGTACGAAACATTTATTCTTAGCCCCACCTGTACTGATTCGAATTTAGAAGGCTCGAGGTGAAACTCAAGAGTGTGCATGTGAAGACACAGCTCCCCCACTCCCACACACCCAGATGCCAATGCGGGTGGGCCACACTCCTGGAGGCTGCGGGGGCGGGGGTGGGAGGGTGGGGGGCTGGCCAGGGAGAGAAGGGTTTTGCCCCCAGCCCAAGGCAGGGCTGGGCCCTGAGGCTGGATGGTTTCCACAGAGAGGCCTCAGACATCTGCTCCTGGCCAAGCCCAGAGGCAGGCCAAAAAGGAGATAACAGCTAATCCAACCTTAACATGCACTATGGGGGCCTTTTCTGGATTGAAAAGAACAAACAAATCCTAGATAGACCAAAAAAAAGAAGAGTAAAATGTGTGGAAAACTCAAGGTCAGTGGAAAACTCAAGGTCAGCGGAGATGCCCAGGGCTTCATTTCAGGCACAGACCCTGAGGGTCAGCCAGCTGGGTGAACTAGCTCTGGTTCGCCAGCTGCAGACCCCCTGAGCCCCCCACCCCAACCCAACCCCACAGAGCTACCTGACATTTTCTTCACTTCAGTTTTCTCACTGTAACTCACACATGCTGTAAGGTTGAACAAAGACATTTATTTGTAAAACAAATTCGCAATGGAGGAGAGACTATCCACTGACGGTGAACCGCTGATCATTCAGAGGCCACATGCATGCGTTAAGAAAGCCAAGAGAACCCCCGACAGTGGTGCTGCTGAAGACACCTGGGAGTTACCAATCCTGCCAACAGAAAAGCAAAATGTCCTTTCCGCTCGAGAGCATGGAGGTACCAAGGTGTCCCGTGAGAAGGCAGTGTGGTCTGACATCCACGATGAAGTGGTCAGGGGACAACTGAGGGAGACTTTCTTTACTCTGTGTGGCTTGCTCCCCACAGATCCCTGGGTAAAAGCTTAAGTGGTCCTCCACCGTCCAGCAGGAGGGGCAGTGTCAAATCCCCGGGCCTTCTCACATGCCCATCCTTATGCTCTGAATAATCTGAAAGATAGCTGAAAGAGGAAAAGGAGACAGACAGCTCAGATACCAGACAGCACACAGCTGGAAACCCAACCCCACAGGGCCCTGCTTCTGCTGCTCCCTGGGCCCTTGACATGTTAGCACACAGCTGATTAGATATTTCCTAACAAGGAGTTAAGTTAACAAGAGGTCAGTGAACTTCTTTAAAAAAGCAGCCTTGCTCTGTCTGCTGATGGATGCCTCAGGGATTTATAGATAGTTTTGCTAATTCCTCCAGGAGTGAAGGCCAGAAATCCCTTAGGCACTGTGAGGTTTGGCCCCCTTCCCCAGCACTGATCTGCTGCAGCTGGGGAGCGGGGTCCAGGGCTTTCATGCAGACCACTGCACTCATTTCACAGGTCAGTGAGGCCACATGTTCAAAATGACAGGGACCTGGGAAACCAGCAGCTCCTGAGCTGGGAAGAAAGGCCAGGTGCTTGTGAGACAGGGACCGTGGGTGTAGTGAGAGTAGGGTGAGGGCCTCCAGGAAAAGCAAGGCAGGATATTTGCAGTCAGAGCAATGTAACTACACGCAAGGAAACCCCCTACCAAAACTCTGTTAAACATTCAGCTCTGGAGTTATTCTTCAGTGAGATCAGTTGGTGAACCCCAGATAAAGAGTAGTACATGTTTATTTTATGCTAATCATTTATAATCACGTGTAAGATTCACTTTAACATGCTAAAAGGCCAAGGCCTATGTGCTGTCTTTCCTCCTTCGGAAGTGCTTTTACAAACTGGGCAAACTAATTTAGCATGCAAGGCCAGCCATAGCACAGAAACAGGCGAGAAGGATTCCACCTTAAAGATAAGATTGCACTTAACTTACTCTTTAGCAAACAATGCCTCAGCCCACCTTGGGGGCTGAGCAGGTGGCCTTGTTTCATATGCCCCCAGACCAAGATGCTGGTATCTCAGGGAGAAATTAACAGAGCAGGAGGTTACTTGTATCAAGTTAATTGTAAATACCTGGGACCACTTAAGTCCACACCCCTAAGCTTTTTTTTCACATTCTTCGAAATGTCTTCAACTGCCTATAAAATCCCCTAGACAACCCACCACTGTGGACTCTTTTGTCCCCTCCTGGTGTGAGTTGAGAGCTCCGTCCTTTCACTTCATCTCTAAATAAAAGCCTGTACGTTGCTCTCCTACCTTGAGTGTTTGTGAAGCTCATTTTTCGGCTTCTTACACAAGAACCCCGGCATCACTTGCAGGCAGGTGCATGATGCCCGGTCTCTGGATGCCGATAACCTTCCATGCAAGGGGACCTTTGGCCTCCTGTAACTTTCTGAATGGTGGCTCTCTGTCATCTGGAGCAACACTGACCCATTCAGGGCTCAGTCTTCACTAAAGGGACCTCTTCCGGATACACCCAGTGCGGGGAGCCTCTAAGTCCACAGAGAGTTCCTGGAACCCTAGTTTATTTTGGTAAGAACTGGTTATATAGCTCCCCACCTGGCTCTAGCTATTGGGTTTAAATGTGTCCCAGGAAAGGAAGGCCCCAACTTCCTTTTTATATACTCTCAGCGGGCGATATTGGTCAATCTCTATGAAGATGATTATAATGATGATAATAGCATCTACTATGTACTGAGTGAACTCCAACTTGAGGGGAGGCTGAGTATCACCTCATTTAATCATGTGTAAAAAGGAAATAAACAGGAATGCAGCTTCCTAAGTGACCACAGTAAAACAGGCTATCCAGAAGCCCCAGGAAATAATCTGACATTTTATCATTTAGCCTTAGTGAGCACATGCTGTGTGCCCGGCATTGTGCTTCGGGGAATCAAAGGTAAGTGACAGGGGGGCCTGGGAAATCTTTCTCGGGCAGCTAGATCTGAAAGGAGGGCAAAGCACCAAAGTGTGGCGTTTTATTTTTTTTCTAAAAATAACTTGCACAAAGGTCATCACTACTTTCCTAAATTGGATATACACCAAACATGATGTAATGTTGATTTTTCATGAATGTTCAGTAAGACCATAATGAAAAATAATTGATAAGACTCCACTGTTACAATATTGTTATGGAGAATGCACATTGTTTGATCTGACACCAAAATAGCTCAGACCGGCTCTATTTCTGGGCTGTCATTTCCATATCTTACTGTTCTTTGGTCTCAATTATTATTATCTTTACTTACATCTGGTGTTCTCCACCAGTCTGCTGTGGGCCCTCTTCTATTTGTAATGGAGTGCAGAGAGCATCAAGAGTCAGGAAAAAGAACTAATGACACTTAACCTGACTGCCTAGAGCAAGAGCCACCCAGTCTTTTCTTGTGTAAATTACCCGAGGCTTCTGAGAAATGCGCTTACCCTAAGTTAGATAACTAGAAGTGGACAACAGCCTGGGAACGCCTGGGGATGTAACCCGTGATAAGTCACATAGACATGCTTGGGTAAGCAAGAGATAACAATTGAAGCGGGCAGGCAACTGGC